AATCGGTTTGCATATTTGAAATCAGCGTGTTCAAATTTACTTAGATGGATTATTGTATGCCAAGATATCTGCAGAAAGTTTTTTTTGTTGTTCAGTGAAATAAAGGATGTTCTCATTATTATTATTAAAAGCAGTAGTAGTAGTAGTAGTAGTAGTAGTAGTAGTAGTAGTAGTAGTAGTAGTAGTAGTAGTAGTAGTAGTAATAGTAGTAGTAGTAGTGGTAGAAGTAGTAGCCGCAGTAGCAGCAGCAGCAGCAGCAGTAGTAGTAGTAGTAGTAGTAGCAGTAGCAGTAGTAGTAATAGTAGTAGTAGTAGTAGAATTAGTAGTAGTAGTTGTAGTAGTAGTAGTAGCAGCAGTAGTAGTAATAGTAGTAGCAGCTGCAGTAGAAGTTGAAGTAGTGGTAGTAGTAACAGTTTATTGTTTAGGTACGATACGTGCCATCAAATTTAATACAGTTGTCGTGTCTCGTGTTTAATCATTCAATCGATACATTAATTAAAACTCAAACACCCATCCACACTTTCATACATACATACATACATATATACACACATACATACATACATACATACACACATAAATACATACAAACCTAAACACTTTCATATACCTTTTACCATAGAAGATATAAAAGATTCAAATTTTCCAACGTTAAAAACCATGTCTGTATTTTTGTCTCTCTCTCTTCTCTCTCTCGTCTCTTTCTCCTCTCTTTCTTTTTATTTCTGTTTCTATCTGTTTCTCTGTCTCTCCCTCTCTCTCTCTCTCTCTCTCTCTCTCTCTCTTTCTCTCTAACTTTCCTTCTTTATGACAATAATATGTGCACGTAGGCGCGTATGCATTTCAAGAAATTTTGTGAACATTATTTTGGGTTGGCTGTTTTCGCTTGGAAAACAGTCTATGCAAACATTTTTTATCCTTTTTTATTTCTCTTTTTCTCTCTCATTCTCGCTTTCTCTCTCTCATTCTCTCTCTCTCACTCTCTTTTTATTCTTTCATTGACTCTTCAAACTCTTTTCAATTTTTAATTCTTATTTCTTTCTCTCTTCAGTTCATTCATCATACTCATCTTAACCTCATCATGTATGTGTTGTATTTGTGTGTGTGTGTGTGTGTGTGTGTGTGTGTGTGTGTGTGTGTGTTAGCCTATGGTTAAAAACAATAGCCATAGAAATCTATCTTTTTTCCTGCTCGCCTTTCACTCGCGCTATTTAATGTTGGTTTTTGGGCTTCGCATAGAAAGGCATTTATGTGTGAATGAATGAATTTAGGTGCTTCTGCAATTTTAAGACGCGTGTAGTTGCTGTTCTGGTATATAACTTTGATGTTGCTGTTGAAGATTTCACGGCTTATAGTGATTGAGTGTGTTGAGTCCAAATGGGATTTGATAGCACCGCTCTGTTTATGCATCGTAAGCCTTCTAGTCAGTGAAGAGGTAGTGGTAATCCCGATATATGAGTCATGTTAAGGGGCAATTAAATTCATATATTACGTGATGACGCTTTAACACAGAGTTACCTCTGGGACTACAATTGTTTTTGAGTATTAGGTAAGACGTCTTTTTATTTATATACTTATAAATTGGGAGACACACCTCTTATTAATATTTCTTTTTCTATCTCTATCTCTTTTACTCTTTCTTCCTTCTTCTCACTCTGCCTATATTAGTGTATCTCATATAACTCTCATAATATCATGACTCTTTCTTTTTATATCTGTCTACCAATCTATCTTTCTATATGTCTACTTGCTTTCTCTCTCTCTCTCTCTCTCTCTCTCTCTCTTTCTCTTTCTCTCTCTTTCTCTCTCTCTCTCTTTCTCCATCTTTCTTTCTCTCTCTTTTTTCTATCTCTCTCTTACTCTCTTTCTCCATCTTTCTCTCTTCCTTTCTTTCTTTACTTTCACATTGATTGATCAAATTTATTCCATTTGTCATTCCATTTTTCTTTGTTTGCTTCGTCCATCTACCGATTTTCACAATTTTACGGTTATAATAACACTACCCTAATGAAAAATTAAATAAAGGATTTAAAGAATTATTCATTTTTTTTAATTCTATATTTATTTATTTATTTAATAATTAATTAATCATCTGCGTATTAAGAATTATTCATTTTTTAATTCTATATTTATTTATTTATTTAATAATTAATTAATCATCTGATCGAATAATAACTTATGGCAAACCATAAATAAAAGCATTAGTAACCATTGTAATGTAATCTACATAGCAGCGTTCGTTAAGCTTTCCATTTGTCTATTTGCTAATCTGTCTATGGGACGGTGATGATGACGTCACGGCGTCTGTTTGTTGACGTTGGCAAGGGAGTGACGTCATCATTATCATCATCGTCATCACCACAATCATCATCATCATCATCAAAATAATAATAATAATGATAATAATAATAATAATCCTCATTTTTATTAGTCTCATCATCGTCTACATCATCAAACACTGTCGTTTTTGTTTTTGCCATCATCATCAGCATCAGCAACATCATTATCATCATCCTCATCATTTTAATCATCATCATCATTGTCATAGTAGTAGTAGTAGTAGTAGTAGTAGTAGTAGTAGTAGTAGTAGTAGTAGTAGTAGTAGTAGTAGTAGTAGTAGTAGTAGTAGTAGTAGCAGCAGAAGCAGCAGAATTTTCGTTTCAAGGTCTCTTTGTATACTTTGTATCAATATATACTTACGTATTTTAATCTCCATCATCCTCATCATTTTAATCATCATCATCATTGTCATAGTAGTAGTAATAGTAGTAGTAGTAATAGTAGTAGTAGTAGTAGTAGTAGTAGTAGTAGTAGTAGTAGTAGTAGTAGTAGTAGTAGTAGTAGTAGTAGCAGAAGCAGCAGAATTTTCGTTTCAAGGTCTCATTTTATACTTTGTATCAATATATACTTACATATTTTAATCTCCTGTGCTTTTTGCCAGATAAATTGTTTTTTAATTCAATTAACAATTAAAATTTTATTTCATCAAGTTAAATAAAAGAAACCAGAATCAATGAAATGAAATGATCTAGAAAGTATAAAAGAATTGTTCTTCCGACAGTCTAATATCTAATTCAATTCAATTTATTTTAATTATGTGGTTGCATAGTTATGCTGTGTTTCTTAATTATGTGGTTGCATAGTTATGCTGTGTTTCAATTTATGTTATTATTTTCATGTTATTATTTCTAGGTTATTACAAATATGTTATTATATCTATGTAATTATATCTATAATATTATTTCTATGTAATCTATGTAATTATATCTATATAATTATATCTATGATATTATATCCATGTTATTATATTTATGTAATTATATCTATGTTATTATATCTATGTTATTATATCTATGTTGTTATATCCATGTTATTATATCTATGTAACTATATCTATGTAATTATATCTATGTAATTATATCTATGTAATTATATCTATGATATTATTTCTATGTTATTATATTTATGTACGTTCACGATCAGTCAATAGATCAGTCACTATTATTACATTTCGTAAAATTGAGAGGAATCTCTCACACACGCAAACACACATACACACAAACACACACATACACATACACACACATGTGTACACATACACACACATACACACAAACACACACATACACATACACACACATGTGTACACATACACACACATACACACAAACACACACATACACATACACACACATGTGTACACATACACACACATACACGCACACACACACATACAAATACACATTAAAGAGCAAGAGGTAGAGTGAATGANA